TTTTCCTTTTATTTTTCCCTTTCCAACAAAAAAGAAAAAAAAAAAAAGATGATGCATTAACACTATTAATTCCTTTAACAATCTTAAACACCTCAATCAGATCCCTCTTAACACTTCTTTTTTCAAGAGAAAACAATATCAGAGATCTTAATCTCTCCTCCTATGTTAATCCCTCCATCCCAGGCACTATTCTAATAGCCCTCCTTTGAACCATTTCCAACAATTCAATGTCCTTCCTAAAATAAAGAACCCAAGACTGAACATAATACTCCAAACATGGCCTAACCAGTGACCTATACAATGAAATTATAACTTCTTTAGACTTGTATTCGCTATTTCTGTAGATACAATTCAAAATCCTATTTGCCCTATCATTAGCAACAACACACTGCGTGGATGGCTTAAGAGACCAAGATCCCTTTCTTTCATAACAATGTTAAGGTTATTCTCATCCACATTATACTTATAATTCAAATTATGATAACCCATCTGCCATTTATTCGCCCAACTCACTAAATGATCTAATTCCTTTTGTAAAGCAGTAGCATCCTTCTCATAGCCAGCAACACCCAAGACCTTAATATCATCAGCAAATTTAAGTACTTTTTTGACCATTCTTTCATCTATATCATTAATGCATATTAAAAAAGCAAAGGTCCTAAGACTGAGCAATGAGCTACCTCACTTGTGACATCAATCCAATTTGACTGAACTCCATTTATAATAATTCTCTGCTTTCTTCCATCCAGCCACTCTTCTATCCAATTAGATAACTTATCTACAGAGATATTTTTTCCACAACTTTTGTGTGGCACTTTGTCAGATGCTTTCTGAAAATCCAAATACACCAAATCTACACCCTTACCCTCATCTACATAAGTAGTAAACTTCTCAAAGAATGTCAAAAGATTTGGGAGGTAAGATTTTCCCTTAGTAAAACCATATTGATTATCCAGTAAAATTCTGAACTTTCTTAAATGACCTTGCAAAACATCTTTTATGAGATTTTCCAGATCTTTTCCCACAACTGATGTAAGACCAATATACCTATAATTACTGGGGAAATTTTGATTACCTTCCTTGAAAAAGAGGAATGACATTAGCCAAGTTCCAATCCCTTGGCACCTGCCCATTATTCAAGGACTTGCGAAAAATAGTGGCAAGTGGCTCACATATCCAATCCTTAATTGGACCTTGAGCCTTATCATTCTTTAAACTTACCAATTTTTTCTTAACAAGCTCAGAATTAATGTAATCATCTTTTTTTTATCTCATTTCCATTTTTAAACTGTTCAAGATGAGGAATATTTCTTAAATTTTCACTAGTGAAAACTTAAGAAAAAGTATAATTTAATAATCTTTAATAGTCTTTATCAACCCTCAAGGGTCTACCCCCATCCTAACATTTTGTTTACCATTAATGTATTTAAAGAAATCCTTACTGTTAATTTTTACATTTTCAGCAAACCTTTTTTCATACATCCTTTTTAATGTCCTAATTTCATGTTTGACCAACTTTCTTGATATCCCACATTTCACTGAAGTTCATATACTACACTTTTTGTTTCACATCTAACTTGAATCATTGTTTCTTTTCTAATTTTACAACTGTGTTAGTAACAAGCAGAATGATCCACTTTGTGACAGAATTTATTGGGTTTTTGCTGTATGAAATGTAAATATATAATCTTTTTTCTACACGTGACTTGACAAGATTGTCGATGTGCAGTCTGAGTGATGTTTTGGTAACAGAAATGTTCTTGAGTTAGTCAAAAGATCTATGATAGCATTTTATGTCATGTAATTTTGATGTTTCTTTAATTTATGATATTATTTTTGACATGGTCAAAATGTTGAGAACTAGTGATGAAAGGCAGATTTTTACAGGTTTTACCATTTTAACATGACCATAGTCATACATATTTGTAAACAAATTTACTTCTTTTCATATTCAAAATATATTGAGCATGATATGTCAGGTTATTTTTTGAGCTATACATATGCAGAAATGTAATAATACCATGATTATTCTACAGGATAAGGGGTTTAAGTATGTGCATGAATTTTTTGACTTTCAAAGACGTATGATAGAATTACTTGCCTAATTGGAGTGTTTGTATTAACTATTGTATTGACTATTCAAAGATATAATATTTTAAATATAATTAATAAAACAAGACATCATTTTTTACTTGCACAATAATTTATTTATAAAGTTTAAAAAATATGAGTTAAAAGAAATGTTAAAACTTTACATGTATCGGTGGAAATAATTCCATCATTCTCGGGAGAATAAATCACGAAGTACACATGAAGTTTCTTATAAACCTGATGTATGTGTATAATTAGCATGTTTTTACAATGGCACCATTCACAACAATGATTTCCAAAAGTTTACTTTTGTGGCTCCTGGCTAAATCTCTATTTATATTCATTTTGTTTTTAACAATTTCAAAGGATTCTCTTATATTTAGTTCATCTTTTTCCCATTACCTGTGTAAGTATTTCTATATTATCCAAGTCAATAACATGAGTAAAATTCGCCACATGTTTTGCCAAAGGTGATTCACTCATTTTTAATTTATCCATCACATTTTATGTTCTTTTACCTTGAATTTTAAGTTCTTACTTGTCTATCCAATATAATTTAGACCACAAGTACATAAACTTTTATATATACCACATTTATCCCTTAATTCAATTTTATCTTTCAAACAATTAATTATATGACTTAATTTTAGCTGAGGAGTAAATTTTACTTGGCAATTCATATTTTGCCTAAACACATTACTTATTTTTATTGACCACAGTGAAAATAGGCAAACATATTTTTTTCTCTAATTTCCATTTTTGTTGTCTGCAATTTAGTACATCCAGAAATTTGAAGTTTGTTACAATATTTACTGCATATCTTATCTGTGATTTGAGGTTGATACCCTCTATCAATCACTATCTGTTCTATATACATTAAATCTCATCATATGACAAAACACTAATAGCCATATGAACAAATGATGAAAATGACATTTTTTTATTACCATGAATGACTTTATTCTCCCGAAGATGATGGAATTATTTCCACTGAAACATCTAGAGTTTGTAAAGTTTTTTTAACTTATGTTTTTAAACATTACAAATAAATTATTGTGCAAGTAAAAAACGTCGATGTCTTGTTTTATTAGTTTATTTTAAAAATCTTTGCACAAGAACTGTTTGTTTTACGTATTGATATAATGTTAAATATAATGTTCCACTGGTTATTACCTATCACCCAAAACTAAAAAACCTACCCCGAATACTAAGAAACACTTTTACCTCCTTCAACTTAATAATTGACAAAAATCCATTTTTACAGAAGTTCCTGTCATTTCTTTCAGAAAAAATAATACTGCATTCACACTGAAGTAAACTTTAAGTCAACACCAGTTGGAAGTCATCCTTACAATAGCAAACAATACCAAACCTCTTAACTTCATGCAGGAAATGGACAAATTTTCTGATAAAGACAACCTAAAGCAGTTCAAAGTCACTAAACCCAT